CTAAGAGGGGGAGCAAACATATGCCATATACGCCAGGTCCCTTGAAACATATGCTGTGCAGATGTTTCTTCCCTGCAGCGACTTTGTCAAGCAGCAAGGGTGGACTGGCTTCCGGCACTTTGTGCCTCAATATTCTTGTCTGTATGATGAAAACAATCATAGTAATTACCTCAAAGGTTTGGGAGCTATATTTATAACATGAGCTAATTTTTGTTAAGCACTTAGATCATTACCTGAGTTAAAGTGAGTGAGCCACTAGTACAGTCATGTGCCGCATAACAACGTTTTGGTCAACGACAGACTGCACCTACAATGGTGGTCCCATAAGATTATAATGGAGCTGAAAAATTTCTGTCACCTAGTGATGATGTAGCCCTGGTCAGGTCTTAGCACAACACAGAATTGTTTTGTGCTATTCTCAGTCTATTCATAGTAATGCTCTCTGCTAGAAATTCCTGGGGGACTCACCTGATCCCTAGTGAGCTTCCCACAGACATCTCTCCTTTCTAAACCAATTGTATGCCTTAGCCAGTTTGGCTCAGTGGATAGAGTGTGGACTGAAGGGTCCCGGGTTTGATTCCGGTCAAGGGCAGCTAATGCAGTTGCAGGCTCAATCCCAGGCCCTGGTCAGGACCCGTGTGGGAGGCACCAATCAATGTTCCTCTCTCATAATGATGTTTCTCTCTCTCAGTCTCTCCCCCTCCCTTCCACTCTCTCTAAATATCATGGGAAAATATCCTCAGGTGAGGATTAACAAAAAAATAAACCAATAGTACAACTGGACCAACCCTTGTGGTTCTTATTACGATTACCCTTGAGGAATAATCATTAGGAAATGTTGAAGGAAAAAAGAGTTTACTCCTTATAGGCCCTAAAGTATACAAAGCATGTCAGGGGACACACAGTGAAGTCTTAGGGAGGAAGGTATGGAGCGGGGAGACAGGGAGAAGGAGAGAGAACAGGCCTGGACCTGGCATTCTGCTTTAATTGGGGTCTAGGGTTGGGGCCTATGGTTTTCAGGCTTACTCCTTATTGGTGAATTTAAAACATAAGTGGGAATTTAAAGCGTAGGAAGAGAGAGAGAAAAAAAGCAAGTAGCCAATGGTCAGTTATGAAATCAAACAACATCTCTAAAGCAAAGGAGCCTCATTGGGGAGGTGGTCTGGCTCTTCATCTGGTCCTGGCTGTGAGATAGCCATCACTGATGCAGGCACCTCTTTGAAAGGATGCCTCCTCCAGAAAAGGATTACATTAAACTAAAAGTTCTTGCACATCGCCCTGCCAATGTGGCTCAGTGGTTGAGCGTTGACCTATGAACCAGGAGGTCACAGTTCGATTCCCAGTCAGGACACATGCCTGGGTTGTGGCTAGATCCCCAGTGGGGTGCATGCACAAGGCAGCTGATCAATGATTCGTTGAGCGTTCTATGAACCAGGAGGTCACAGTTCGATTCCCAGTCAGGACACATGCCTGGGTTGTGGCTAGATCCCCAGTGGGGTGCATGATGCAGACAGCCGATCAATGATTCTCTCTCATCATTCATGTTTCTATCTCTCTCTCCTCTCTTCCTCTCTGAAATCAACAAATATATTTTTAAAAAATAGTTTTAAAAAAAAAGGAAAAGAAAAGTTCTCTGGCATCCTCAATATTTTTGAAGCATATAAAAGAGTCCTGACAAGATTCTGCATTTTTTAGACATTTAATAAAAACAGAAGACAAAAAGTATTTAGAGCCATTCCTTACCAATATCTAGTGGATTTTTAATTCATGACTTTATTAATACTGTAACCAACGCCACCCCACCACCAAACAAATGCTGCAAGTGGGGTTAAGAGCAAAAATGTAAACATGCTGGTTAAGTGTTCACAATAAATCATATGTCAGTCCTTTTCAACTAGAGTGCTTTTTTTCCTAAATAAACAATATAATTTGTATAGTTTTCCTTCAAGTTTAATATTAACTTGCCTCATATGTTCTGTGTTACTTTGCTGATCTACACACTGGCTTTAGCACTCTGGAGGGGGTACAGAACTTGTTAGTGGAAAATCATATTAAGCCCCAAATTCATAAGCTATAAAATAAAAGACAGTTGTCTGTTGTGGAATTTTGGCTGCCTGAAATTCTGGACTTTCTTGTTGGCATCCTTAAAAATACTGGTGTAAATCAATACCAAATGGATATCAAAATTCCATGTCCCAGTAGTAATCATTGAATTGGCTTCCAAAACAGATTCCTGGGCAAAAAAAAAAGGGGGGGGAGGGGGGAATGCTGTATCTTTAAGGATTGGATCACTTAACTGTTCTCTGAAAATATTAAAATGTGCTATAAACTACTGGCTGCCTACATGTATACATACTTAGTCTAGAATAAATGTCCAGTTGAGGCAGGAGTTGAATTTCTCAGCATGTTTACCAGCAGTTTCAGTGACCCCTTTGCTGTGTTTTCTAGAATTTATCATGATGAAAGTTAATTACTAATTTTAAACTTATTTACATCCAAACATATCTTTTGTTACATTTGTTTTGTTTTGCCACTTTACACATTTTTAAACTTTAACTAAAAAAAAAAAGCAAGACATAACTAAAAGGATCTAAAACAATCACTCACTTCAAATCAATGAAGTATATGGAGTGAATATGGTTAGTGGATTTGCACAGGATTATTACGGATAAGCTCCTTGGGTTTACGCTCACAGCATGCTTTAGTTGAGCCTAAAAGTATAGAGCCATCTGTTTGGCTGTAGCTGAGGAGAGATAATATGGAAAATCATTCTGTTCACGGGGAACACCTCCATCAGTGAAGTTGTAGAAACCTTGCTTATGACCAAAACCAGCATTCCCGTGTGAGTCACTGAATGAAGGTAGCTTTCCCCCATTATAGAGATGGAGGTAGAGAAGCAGGGAAGAGAAAATAGAGGATTAAATCTGAAAAGGAATAGTTTCATCAATAAAATGACAAGACAACTCACTGAATGGGAGAACATATTCCCTGATATACCTGATAAGGGGTTAATATCCAACATTTACAAAGAGCTTATAAAACGAAATACTAAAAAACAAACAATCCAATTTAAAATTGGCAAAGGACCTGAATAGATACTTCTCCAAAGAGGACATACAGATGACCAATATACACATAAAAAGATGCTCAACATCACTAATCATCAGAGAAATGCAAATTAAAAAGGTGTGGACAAGGAGCCCGGAACACTGGTGAACCTTGAACCTTGGCAAAGGTCAGAGCGATGCACCAACTGTTTAGTCAAGAGTAAGGGGAGCCCTTATGCACTGTTGGTGGGAATAAAGATTGGGGCATCCACTGTGAAAAATAGTATAGTGATTCCTCAAAAAAATTAAAAATGAAACTGCCTTATGACCCAGTGATACCACTTCTGGGAATATATCTGAAAAAAATCAAAACACTAATTTGCAAGAATATATGCATCTCTATGTTTATTGCTGCATTATTTACAATAACCAAGATTAGTAAGCAGCTGAAGTGCCTATCAGTATATGAGGGGATAAAAAAGCTGTGGTACACCTACACAGCAGAATACTCCTTGGCTGTAAAAAAGAAGGAAATCTTACCATTTGCTACAATTTGGATGGACCCAGAAAGTCTTATGCTAAGTGAAATAAGCCAGTCAAAGAAAGACAAGTACCATATAATTTCACTTACATGTGGAATCTAATGAACAAAATAAACAAAGAAACAAAATAGAAACAGACTCATAGATACAGAGAACAGACTGACAGCTACCAGAGGGGAGGGAGGTTGAGGGACTGGGTGAAAAAGGTGAAGGAATTAAACAAAAACAACAACAATAACTCATAGACATAGACAACAGTGTGAAGATTACCAGAGGGAAAGAGGGGTAGGAAGAGGAAGAAGAGGGTAAAGAGGAAAATAAATGATACGGAAGGATACTTGACTTGGTGAACACATAATACAATATACAGATGATGTATTATAGAATTGTACACTTGAAATCTATATAATTTTATTAACTAATATCACCCCAATAAATTCAATAAAAAAGTTTAAAAGGTTAAGTCAGGCAATTGCTTTACAAAAAGAGAAGCCAACTTTTACACCCTAATTACTGGCACATTTGTGGTGATGCTGGTGTAAACAAACCTACAGGCTGCCAGTCATATAAAAATACAGCACATATAATTACAGTAGTGGCTAAACCATCAAAGTTTGTGAAATTGCATTCTATGATGTTCCTAAAATGACGGAATCCCCTAAAAACCCATTTCTCAGAACATTAAGCAGTGCATGACTGTGGGAAGCTGCCCATTGTCTTCACTAGCAGAGAGGTGTGGACAAGGAGCCGGGAACTCTGGTGAACCTTGAGCCCTGGCAAAGGTCAGAGCGATGCACCAACTGTTTAGTCAAGACAATGGTAGCTGAAGCAATTTCCCGACCAGATAGTCATGTAAATCCTTACTGATAAGATAGTCTGTCTATTACTGAAATTGCCTGCCTAAGGGCGATAGGTGTATCCTAAACTGAATAAAAGGATGGCAAGGCCTGAGCACAAGTGGAGTCTTGTCTCTTATTTGCACACGGCCCTTCTCCAGAGCCCGAACCCTGAACCATATGGGACATGGGTCATCACACATGACTGTATAGAGATTTTTAAAATATATGTATTTATTGATTTCAGAGAGGAAGAAAGAGGGAGAGAGAGACAGAACCATCAATGATGAGAGAGAATCATTGACCGGCTGCCTCCTACATGCCCCACACTGGGGTTTGAGGCCTCAACCCGGGCACGTACTCTGACCGGGAATTGAACCGTGACCTCCTGGTTCATAGGTTGATGTTCAACCACTGAGACATGCTGGCCAGGCGAGATTTTTTGTTGTTGTTGACTTTTGTTGGGTACTTCCTTGAGAAAAGGTGTACAGATAGCAGGCAGCATCCCATCAAAGTATTGATTGTAGAAAAAATAAAGCCAGACCAAGCACAAACAAAAACTTTTCAGGCAACACATTCAGAGTCAATTTTACCAAAACAATGCAGTTTTCCACAGCTTTATGTGTTGCCCAAAACACAATGACAGTGTGATCAGAAGGCCTAAATCTTGGATTTCCTTTTATCTCTAACACCTAACATGGAGGTTGGTATGTAGACTGATAGTTAAATCCAACTGAAAAGCCTAAAATACAGTGGTGGCCAGGGGATGGGAAAGGAATTGGATGTAAAGATTTGCCAAGGGGAAATAAACAAACTACTTACTTCATTAAGTTAAGGGAGAAGGGAAAAATGTGTCAAAGAAGACTGCTGTAGAATCTCAGTTATTAGGAGACCAGTTCAGAAGTTGAGAGGGGGCGGAAGATGGTGGTGGTGGGTGGTGATTTGTCAAGAATTGCCTCCAGTTTGGTGGTAAGATGCCTACAACAGTGAAGGGAATGTCCAATATTCTCCTCGTAGTATGAATTGTTGAGTCCAAAATAAATATAGCTATACCTTCTAGCAAGTTAACCACACGGTCTTGTCCCCACAGCTGGGATTCTTATGTGTGTCCTGGAGTTTAGAGTTAATCAAATGCCCAATGCCAGGATCTACTTTGGAAGTATATTCCTTGCTCACTTCCCAGAGCTGTTCCTCCAGTACCAAAAGCTGGGGTCACTGCTGTCACCGAACTGTGGATGCCAAACTAAGAGAGAGAAAAGAGTAGAGGCACACTTAGCTGTTTTTCTAGCCACATTGGCTTAGGATTATGGTAGGTGATGGAAACCTGGTAACGGTCTCTGGCCCCGTCCCACGTGTAAGATCAATGGAACCCTACCTTCTCCAAGCTTCGGTGGGTTTTGCTGAGCAGCATCACGCGTGCTCATGAGTGGCCTTGGACCTCTCCCTGTGGTGAAGGAGTCAGCTGCTGTCTCTCAGGGGTGTTGTGTTGAGGTCTAGCCTGTTGCCAAGGGGGGGATAAACAAACTAGTCTGGCCAGGCGAGATTTTTTGTTGTTGTTGACTTTTGTTGGGTACTTCCTTGAGAAAAGGTGTACAGATAGCAGGCAGCATCCCATCAAAGTATTGATTGTAGATAAGACAGCAGTTCCAGGAGAAACTCACTCACGGTTTGAGAGAACTGTTCTTCTGTAGGGGCATTAGCACTCTGTCGGGGCATTAGCACTGTGCTGAAGTCACTCAGGAGGTGGTTGCCTTGTGCTTTCAGGCAGTGCCGCACTTCACTTTCCAGGTCAATATAACCTCCTGGGAACCAGACAGAGGTACTAATGACTGGGCTGGTGTACCAGGTGCATTACACGACCCTACCAGGCTACATTCCACATCCCCCTCTTGATCCACACAAAGTTTGTGCACCTAGATTCTCTCTCAGAACAGCAAACTTCCCCATGCACAGGAAATCTTTGTCCCTTGGTGCCTTAGCTCTGGGACCAAGGATCAGTCTCTCCCACTCTCTTCTCTACACTTTAGGCCTCTCCCACCACCTCCACCGTCTCCTTCTGGACATTCTAGGATTTGACTCAATTCTCAGGTGGGATCCCATGTGTTCACTCTCTTTGGGGCCCTTATTGCAACCAATATTCCCATAAACCCCTCCACACACTCCCTCAAATTGCCTTCTTGTAAAGTCTTGGCACTTGCGGGGCTGTCCTGAAGGGGTGGTAAAAGGCAAAGACCCCACCCCTTTGAATCTTCCTAAGGGAGGATTGTACAGGGTCTTTTCCAAACAACAGGAGGAATCAGGTTTCACTCTTGTGGCCCTAATTGGTGAATTATGCCTCAAAATTAGATTTTAAAGTGTTACTGTTTATTTTTTTCTTTTGTCGATTATACACTTTTTTACTGGCAGATCAGATAAACAAGTATATAAAAGAAATATTTAAACTATTCTTTTGGCAGAGGATAAACTGTGCAGATTAAATGTCTCAATTTAATCTTAAATAATGGTTTGGAATCATACAAATTTTTAAGAAGAAAAATAAAGACTATCTAAACAGATTCTCTTAGTTTATAACACACTTCCAGAATAACTCTCAGAAAAAAAAAATTCAAAAATACTCTACTTTAAAAATGTCAATACCATATGGCTTTATGAAATAACTTCTAAAATTATATATTTTTATTTAAAAAGGATCCCAAGTTTTAAATAAACTGCTAGCAATAACAATTTCTTCACTTAAAAGTGCATATTTGAGGGTGCGACATACTTTTTGAACAAATAATTTTTACAAATTTTCAACACATAAAAAAAATTAATTACAAAATATTTTTAAGGGGGGAAAGTTTTCACCAAAACTCATCTTTATATAGATTGCAATAGATGACATTTTTCCTTTTTCTTCTTTTTATAGCATCAGAATTCTCAGTGAGGTGATTTGGCAGTTTTAAGATATATCATAGTCTCCACCAAGAGCACACCCTTAGTCCTTAGTCCAAGGTTAATCTCAACCTTGAGGATCTCTCCTTGGCCCCTTTAGTGACACAAGACCACTCAGTCCTATGTTCAGGTGTTAAAGAATTCGCAGTTCATGAGATCTGCAAAATAGTCTTGCCTACATCTTAGCATGTTTCTACTTCACATCCTCACTTATATATTTGATATTGAGCCATGGTTTGTTTCCTTTGAATGGTTTTGGCTTTCTGTTGATACTTTATAGAAGATAGTGATTTGAAGCTATAAATGCACTATAAATCAATAAGTCCTGATCACTTACCCCCAAAAATCCTCTTTCATCAAAACGTTTTTGCTAAGTCATCCTTACCTCTGAATTTTCAAAGAGAAACACAATGTAGATCTTGCTGGAGTAGCTTCTTTTCTGAAATTTCTGACTTAGTTTGGTTCCAAATTCCAAGCACGGTGAGTTCCAGGGCAAATATAGACTCTTGTAGCTCAGACAGTGAGCACTTGGCTCAGACTAAAGTAACTATTCAGATCCCAATGTGTTAGCACAGGTCACAGTGCCTTTCAATCCATGCCCCTCCCTCCTCAGCAAAATTTTGATGCCTATAATGTAAAGTCAGTCCCTCTTTGCTTTCTCAATTTAATTTGAAATGCAAGTTAATGAATGTGTCAAAATATGCTGACTACTACTGTGGGATATAGAAAAACTGCAGTAGGAACTAGCTTTAAGATTTCCTATGAGTCTGGAAAAAAATGTCCTAATGATCTGACCAGAAAGTGAAGTAGGGGCACTGGTCTCAGATGGGATTTCTGGGACCAGAGTTAACACATTGCGTACCGCTCACGAGTTTTCTCGTGTTTTGCGCCCCATCTGTTAAGCTTCTAGGTGGGCAGGAGTTGATTTCAGCAGCAGCACCTAGATCCAAGGATGCGATGAAAGGCAAAAACTGGAAGAAAACTGAAATAAAAGAAGGGACAGACAGCACAACCCAAGGCATCAGTCAAAGGGGCCAGAAGAAAGGAAGAAATTTTAGATTCAGGGTGAGGTCAAAAATGGTCAGAATCAGGCTCAAATAAGAGAGTTCAGAGTGGAGGCTGGGGTCAGGGCCAACAGAGATCCCCTGAGCCACTGGAAAGCATCCTGGGTAACTGTTCATGCCTTGCCTTTCACTGTTCTCATGGTATTGAGAACTGACCAAGACAGTTTCTTTGTGCACTGCTATTAGATTCTTTTTGGTAGATTCTGCAGCTGCCAAAAGTTAAGAAGTAGAAAAAGGCTAACTATACCCCCACAGCCTGACCAAGACCGTTTGTTTGTGCACTGCTATTAGATTCTTTTTGGTAGATTCTGCAGCTGCCAAAAGTTAAGAAGTAGAAAAAGGCTAACTATACCCCCACAGCCTTGCTATTGAATCCCAGCTGATTTCAGATGGAATTCTGCCGGAGTCACTTATTAGGCAAACATTTATGAGCAACCAAGCATAAAAGCAGTCCACCTAACTGTGGTTTGCAGGATGCTGTCTAAAATATGGTAGTCTACTCATACAGGTTGAATACCACTGATTCACCAATGAGGATCTATTTCTAGCACCATGTATGCCAATTACAAGACATTTATTTCACCAAATGAAAACACATTAGTTGACACTGGGTTGATTTATTTATGAGAGCTTTTGCAACTTGTTTTCTAAATCACAGTAGCATTGTGTGACATGGCTTATCATTTATGTCCTGTTTACTCATCTTTACAGAGATGCCACCCCTCACAGTTGAATTGTGCACACCCCTCCCCACAAAAAAGAATTCTGAAGTCCAAACACTTCCACCTCCACCTGTGAATGTGATCTTATTCGGAAACAGGGTCTTTGCAGATGTTATCAAGTTGAGGCCATATTTGATTAGGGTGGGTCCTAAATCCAATGACAGGTAGCCTTATAAAGACCGACTCAGTTTCCACTTCCGCTCCCTCTCTCCAGCAGTCCTGTTACCGCCTCCTAGCTGGCCTTGTGCATAAAAAAAAAAAAGAAAAAGAAAAAGAAAAAGACAGACTCTATCTTATTTTGTTGTATTTATTTCATAGTTTCCCCATTATCTGAAGTTATTATTCTCTTACAGTTCTGGAGAAGCAGCAGTTCTTAGCATGGAGGTGGGGAGGCAGAAATAGAGATTAAAGGTCCCCCCCACACACACACACACCCCCAGGAAGCAAAGCCACCAGGTGAGAGAAAAAACAGTCTGGGTGATGGTAGGGTGAAATGAGAAGAAAGTATGTAGTAAGGAGGTCATGACCCTGGGGTGATTAGATCTAATCTAATGAAACATATAGAGAATTTGCATCACAATGTTCATGCATAAGGTGAAGGCAACAGAACTGGGTTAAAGGTGTCTCCCAGCTGAGGACATGTTCCTTGTGAAATGAGCAGTAATAATGCCTGGTGTCCTTCATTTGAGGAAGAGGATTGGATATTAGTTAAAAGGGAAAGGAAAGGGCCTAGATATTAGGGTACCTAGAGAACCAGGTCTGGGCACCTGGGTAATGGGCAATGACATCATCAGCATGGAAACAGCATCTCTAAGCTTGTAAAGTGGAGGATGAAGAATAGGGATTGTAGATCTAACCTGACTATAGATCAGATTATCTAGATTTAAGAAGAGCTCTCATTTATCTTCCTATTACTGTCCCTTAAACTTCAGCAAAGTTTTGTTTCAGTTTTCTCTGGCAGGGGCTTTTTAAACTTTATTTTGTGTTTTTTTTTAAATCAACTCTGATTCCCAGGTTTGGCTCAGTGGTTGAGCGTTGACCCATGAAACAAGAGGTTAGCAGTTCATTCCCAGTCAGGGCACATACACGGGTTGGAGGCTCAATCCCCAGTAGGGAGCGTGCAGGAGGCAGCCAATTGATGTTTCTCTCCCATCAATGTTTCTCTCTCTCTATCCCTCTCCTTTCCTCCCTCTCGCTAAAAATTAATAAAACCACATATATCTTTAAATCAAACCCTGCTAAGGAATTTTAAAGGAAGGATGTAACTGGGTCCTCATCCACTCCTCAGCTGGACAGTAAATGGTTCATCTTTTTCTATAGCATTCTCTTATCCTGGCTCCCAGATCCCTGTAAGCCCGCTGCCTCCCCCTTTCTGAATTTTACAGATCCCAAGTAGCACACGCTGATGGCATGAGAGTCTCCTCTACAGAGCTGATAGCTTACTGGGCGATAAGGAGGTGAGGAATGAGCCACACTTGACAAAGTTTCTAGCATATCCCCCTCCTCTTCCCCTTGTCATAGAGGTTTGGTGACAATTGGTGACAGGAATCTCCCACTCTCAGCCTCTCATTTCCAAACCTTTGCTCTCCTCTGGCTTGGGTCTTAATCCCTCTCATATGGAAGAAAACTTGGTTGACTAAACATGCTTGCTAATTACACTCTATGCCAGCACCAGTGCCCTTCAAACTAAAAACTTAATTCCATTTTTCATTCCTCTTTGCACTTTGTGTGGCCTCCTATTCTTCCATGCCATGTGGTATAGGAGGTGATGCAGTAACAAAGGCACGACAACAATGCAAAAGCGACTATTACATAAGGGTGTAATTTGCTATTACATAAGGGTCTCTTTCCGTTGGGTAACTCGAAAGGTCCTGACATTAGGCCCTTCCTGCTGATGCTCAGGAAGACAAGAGAGATGCTGTAGATGAGCATGTGACACATGGGATCAGATAACAGGCACCAAGAACTTCAGAAGCTGTTCAAGGAGACAGAAGATCCCAGAAACTGTTGAAGGGGAAGAGGAATCCTCTGATACAACAACACACACATAAAAGGCAGTGAAGAAGCTGTCTAATAGGATTTAGCCCACAAAGGGTCTTTAATGTTCATCTTGGCCCTGTGTGAGCCTGTAAGCATAATATGGACATCAGCTGTTGTGTCCTTCCAGGCTGGAAGCTGAGGAATGCAAAACATACATACACACACACACACACACACACACACACACACACACCAATGACAAAAAACAGAAGCTGCCTGGTAAGTTTGTTTTCTTCCCAGAGATTTCCTATCCCATCTAGCAGCAAAAGTGGCAAAGCTCTGAAATTGCCATGGGGACCTAAATCAGCTCTACAAATGCTGGCTCCATCCTGATTTCTGGAGATCAAATAAACAAAGATTTTCTTTACCAGATAAAGTTTCTAGATTCCTATGCTAATAAGTAAATACTATTAGCACAGAAATCTGTGCTATTATATGAGGCCGTGAGGGCCTGGGGCGGGGGAGGGGGCACGGGAGAGGGCTGGAGGGGGTCAATGGGGGAAACAGGGAGATATGTGTAATACTTTCAACAATAAAGAATTATTTTTCAAAATTTGCTTAACACATTCTAAATAAAAAAGACATCCTTGCTCAGTTGGTATGGCTCAGTGGTTGAACAGCAACCCATGCACCAGGAGGTCACCAGTTTGATTCCAGCTCAGGGCACATGCCCACGTTGCAGGCTTGATTCCCAGTGGGGGGCGTGCAGGAGGCAGCCGGTAGATGTTGGTAGATGTGTCTCTTTCACATCAATGTCTAAATAAATAAATAAATAAATAAATAACATCCTAGTAGCAACAGGAAAACATTAATAGCCAGTATTTTTAAATTTTGGAGAGTTATTTTTAAAATGCAATTGAAATAATGATGAAAGTTAAGATAAAATGCTCTCTCCTCTGAGTGGCCTGTGAAGCAGCCGAAAGGGTAAGAAATGCCGATTCTCACGCCCCAACGCAGACCTACTGAATCAAAGTCAACATTTTAACAAGATTCCCAGGTGATGTGTGTGAACAGTAAAAGCTCACAAGGCACAGATCTATGCAACTTTAAAATTATTATAAATAATAAAGGTACATATTTGTTCGTACCAGCAGATTTCAGTTTTTGGAACAATGTGAGTAATATGTTAAGATAATGTTTATTTTTCTGTACAATACAGGTTGTTTGTAACTATTTCAAAAGAGTTCTCCTGCCGTAACCGGTTTGGCTCACTGGATAGAGCGTTGGCCTTCGGACTGAAAGGTCCCAGATTCGATTCCGGTCAAGGACATGTACCTTGGTTGCGGGCACATCCCCAGTAGGGGGTGTGCAGGAGGCAGCTGATCGGTGTTTCTCTCTCATTGATGTTTCTAACTCTCTATCCGTCTTCCTTCCTCTCTGTAAAGAAATCAATATTTAAAAAATCAATATTTTAAAAAATTGTTCTCCTAAAAATTTTACAGAATTTAGAATTTCAAGATGAATATTTACTTTTAGTTTGGAATTATTTATATGTTGGGAAAATTAGCAAAGGCAAGCCACTTCTAATATTCAGCTCTTCAATTTGAAGAAAAATTAAAATGCTGCTTTTTTCCCCTTATTTGGGAGTGAAACAAAAAACCATGAAGGTCTTGAAAACTAATGCTAAACTAAACTTATCCAGTGTCTCAAGGATAAGAGGGTGGGATGAAGGTGTGAACCAACCGTTGAGCTCAGG